CACCTTAAATACATTGACATTTTAAAAACGAATTTGGCTTCAAGTGTAGAAATGTTAGGTTATGACGGTCTTATTATTTTCAACATGACAATGATCCTAAACATGTGGCACATAACACCAAAATGTATTTGGCATACAACACTCTCCATTTATTAAAGACGCCACCACAGAGTCCTGATCTTAATCCGATCGAACATTGCTGGAATATGTTATAAAAAAGGGTCAGAGCACACTACATTAGTTCAAAATCCAAACTTATGGAATTATTAAAAGAGGAGTGAGTGAAAATTGACAAAAGATACACAGAAAAGTTAGTTTTGTCGATGCCAAAAAGACTAGAAGCAGTTATAAAGAATAAGGGCTACCCCACAAAATACTAATATTAAAAAAAAAAAAATATATATATACATATATATATAGGTTAAGTGTACGAAGACTTTATTGGAGGCAAAAATGGGTTTTTTTTTATGGTTTTTAGTTATAACTTTTATGCTAAGCAAAATATTGAAATTATCTCTTTTCTAATTTGTTGTTAAAATATTAGTTAATAAAGCTGTATTTTTAATTTTTGCCCATCTTGCATCACCTATTCGTTGCCAAAGAAAAAAATCATTGCTGTACGAAGACATTATTGGTCCACTGTAGTGATAGAGGGGAAAGTGGGTATGCGTATGAGAGGCAGGAGGGATGGGGGCAATGGAGGATGGGCATTGTCACAGCTGTGCGCAAACATTGAGCCGCAAATGCAAGTGCGGCGAGCGTTCTACGACAGGCAAAAGAAAAAAATAAATAAACAAGTAAGAAGGCTCCAGTCGAGACTGCTCGACTAGGAGATATCCTGAACCCTCTAAGCTGATATTATAAAATATATGTATATATAATGTATAATTATAAATGATTCATTCATTGTTATAATTGTGAATTTAGATAACAATACTTATCAACAGCGAACTGTCTCAGGTCTGCTTCATGGTAAGGAGCCGGCTGCCGAACAGCATGCCAAATATGACGAACAACACCATAGTCACAATTATGCGGAAGCCAAGCAGACGTTTAGCTCAGCACGTAGGCCGGCGAGTCCCATCGGATATTTCATAAAACAGACTCAGTCTTTGAGTGTATGTATGTGTATGTGTGTGTGTGTATGTATGTGTGTGTCTTGATTATATAATGCATTTCAATTGCACTTGAACTCTCGTTCACAGATCAAGAAAGCCCAATCAAACTCGCTTTAACATCCATTTAACATGTTACATATATGTGGCTGTTTGTTCTGTTATATTAACAGATTCCAGCTGAATATCGACTTAAAACTGCTTTCAATTATAACCATTGTTATTTTCTTTTGTGCAGCATAAAACAATAATTACATGAGTTGGCATACGCATTTTACAATAGCAGAAATCATCAGTCTAGGAGTTCGGATACCCACAACCCATTGAAATGGGGAAGTTCGCGAGCAATATACAAATGTATGTAGGAGATTTAGTGATGCCATTAAGTACATACATATGTGTTCTACATGTACATCTAATGGTGGGGAGTAAATTTAAAAAATAAAAAATAAAATTTAAAAAAAAATACATATAAAACTATGTTTAAAGTTTTGCTAGCTCTAAAGGTGCAGGAGATATAATTTCATAGCTAAAATCGATAAAGTTTTTAATCGATAACAAAATGACGGAGTATTTATCGATTTTTGGCGAAAACCTTGATATGCACGTGATTTACACGGACCTAGGCCAAAAGTCTCTACTTCTGAGATTGACATTAAATTTACCGTACACTTTTCATTGTGACTAAGCCTGACAACTTATTGGAATTTATGGCAAAATGATTAAAAGCCATCAGTGTGAGTGAAATATTCAGTGAGGAAAATATTCAAAAATTTAAGAACGTTAACTTTTTAAATTTGCATGTTCAACAGCACATAAATGATTCACTCTGGGATAGGACGATTTAAGCGGGTAGTAGAAAGTCTAACGGATCTATTCTGAATTATTCTCAACGGTATAGTGACAAAA